GCAGGGAGGGAGGGGTACAGGGAGGGAGGGAGGGAAGAAGAACAAGCAACCAACAACTGGATGGAGGTGTGGATGGAGGGAAAGATGACCCTGCTCACTCTTCTTCATTTACCACACCTTTCTCCTTGGTGGTGGTGTCATCAGGAGCTTCCCAGTGTGGGCTACGTGAGCTCAAGATGTAAAATTAAAAGAGGCAGCAGTTATTCCTGAATTTGACCAAGGCCAGAGCCAAAACAAACCCACTCTCTCCTACATTAGCTGCTTCCAAAGGTAACTCTGATTGGATTCAGAATATCTGGGTCAAACTCAGAGCAATGCTAGACTGTGGACCCACAGGACATAGCTGTCAAACCATAATTCCATCACCCAGTTACGGTGCTTAGCACTGCCATGCCGTGCGGAGAACTTGTGTCTTCAACAGTTCCACATCTTAAGCAGCAGTCCTCAAAATGAAGCCCGCAGGGGGTCACCTCGGCGCCTGCTGCTCGTGACAGTCCCAGGAGTGTCCTGGGCTCCACGCCAGGTGTGTGAGAGAAGAGAAAGTCACTGTGGCAGTGCAGTTGTTAAGGAGAGGGGGGGAGTGTAAGAGTGTCGGTGGGGAGGCTGGGCTGGGAGAGGAGCTAAGACACTCCTCCCTCTGTGGCAGGAGGTGGGGAGGCTGGGCTGTGGCTAAGATGCTCAGGTTAGGAATCTCCAGCAGGGAGAGGAGGAGAGGCCCGCTGGATCTTTCCCAATTTCTCTATGAAAGAGGAGAGTGACCTGGAGAGGTGGAACATCAGAGGTTGGAGGAGAGAGAAGTTTTGAAATAATTATCTCAGCGGATGGGCATGTTAACTTATGAGACAGGGTAGTTGACACATCGGGCAGGGCTGGCTGCCCAGGGGAGGCTTGTGGTCGTTCCGTGTGATGCAAATCCAGAGTGTGGTTGAGTGTCGTTCTCCAGCAATGCTGAGATGCTGCAGTGCAGACACAGAGCGGGCAGATAGACAGTGGAGAGGTACCGGGAGGACGAGGAAGGCAAAAGTGACAGTGTTCTGTAAAGGAGCGATCGTAGTGTTGAACCAAGGAATCCAAACCAAGTAAGGAAGGAAGGGGGCGTGTGGGGACTTGGGGACAGGGGTGACAGCAGTGCCAGAGCAGCGGGGTGAGGCCTATGGTTGGAGGACTCTAAGCTGTCTGGGACTTGCCAGAGTGAGAGGGCTGGTGGAGAGAGACTAAACAGAGGTGACGATCAGGGGATGGGGACAGCAGAAGTGACATTTCGGAGATGGTGCAGCTTCTTCCTCTAGAGGCACAGCCTGATGCCGCATTAGCTGCCTGGTGGCCCGGCTAAGCAAGTGCCACAGGGACTGGTGACATCAGTCAAAACTGTGGCTTCCAGATCCTCCGGCTCATCTTATCTGTCTTCTTTAGAAAGGGCTTTTGAGCCCTGCTGACGACATTCCCTTTGGCTTATCAGCATGAGCAGAGTATCTCCCCTCTTCCTAACTCTGTCGAAGCCCCAGGTGTGCGGTCATGATGGGCTGGAGGAGGACAGGAGTGCGGTGGAAGGTGGCCCGGCCGGGACACACGGGCCCAGCATTACCGAGGGCCTATCCACGGGGAACCGCTCAGGAACATGCACGGTTTCAGACAAGGCTATTTTTAAATACCCTGCTCTCAGGCTCAAAGCAAACAGCGGCGGAGACAGCTAGGCGGTCTCCGAGGGAAACTGGCTCCGGGAGAGGAGCCGCGCGCGCTGGAGGGCCCTGCGCCGCGGTCACCCACACTCAGCGCCGGAGATAAGGCCGGTGCCGGCGGCGGCTCCCGGCCGCCGGGGCCGGCGCCGGGAGCGGGCGGAAATGCCCCGGGAAACAACCCGGCGAGGCGTGGGTCGGCCCTGCAGGACCAGAGCGCATTTGCTTCCTATTTATTTCCTAAAGCGCCCACCCCCTCCCTTTCCCCAGTCCACAGTTGCCTCCGAGCTCGCCTCTCTCTAGGGAAAGACAGGACAGAACGAACCATCGTGAAGATGCAGCACGGAGCCCGGGAGGTGGAAAGGGATGTTCTGAGAGCAAGTTCCTGTTACAAGTTTCCAGCCACCTCTATTTCTAGCAGAGGAGACAGTGAGCCTCCCTGAGAAAAACTGCTTGAGTGGTCCCTTTCAGGGAAGATGTGAAGGAGTCAACAGCCATCTGTCTGGGGGACTCTCGGCGCTGATGCAGACCTCGTCCCCCACCCCCTACGGTTGCCGCGAGGGGTGAGCAAGCTGCATCCAGGCAAGAAGCTTTCCGAAGAAATCGACCTTGACTCGCATTACAGATTCAAAAGCATCTCTAAGGCTGAACGCCTGACTCCTTCAGGGGACTGGCTGGACCCAATCGCAGACGTGCGGGGCTGTGAGACGTGCGCGAGCCGCATCCCAGGGGCTGGGGCGCCGCGAATCTGGTCCACTTCAAGGGACAAAGCAGAACACAAGGAGCAGCCTCGGGGAGTGATGAGTCTTGGAGAAGAAGGGAGAGGAGACAGACTCGCCATGATGAAATGCGGCTGGAATTAAATCATATAAAATATTAAAGGAGCCTGCCTTCTATGACCCCAAGCTGCAGGTGAAACACACCATATGCTGTCAGTCAGGGGGATTAGCAATTAGACTATGATCTTTCCCTGTTGCAAACAAAGAAACAGGTCCAGGAGCCGGAGAAGGAGGTCTGAGAAGGAAAATCAGTGAAGCTCTTCCCTTATAGAGTAAACAATTTTTTTTCTCCCCAGACTTTGTAATGCAAACCTATTGAGTAAAGGAATTCTAAAGTGCCCCCTGCTGGAGAATCAGAGGAATCTATTCACACGTGGATTTTTTCCAGAGTGTAGCCGCATAGTTTACGTACTGGTATTTCTCTGCATTTGTGACTGTCCTCACTTTCCATGTTTGCTGGAAAATTCAAAGTTCAAATGCTATTTCCACTGCTCAAAAACCGGTATCTCTAGCTGGAGTACTCTGTCACAATTTAATTAAATTCTACAAATGCTTCTTAATATTTACTATGTGCCAAGCACTGTGCTGATTCTAGGAAAGCACGGTGACTCTAAGCTGAAGATTGGTCCAGCACTTTGGTTTCGTTCATGCCATCTCAATGGAAATTC